GGTCCCTGGCAGCCAGACTGCAGACCCGGTGCTCGGACATCCTCGGGCAGCTCTGAGGGCTCCCACCTGACTCTCTCTCCCTCAGTGTCATCCCTCTGACTTGTTACTGCCGGGCCTCCTGGGCCTTCTCATCATCCTCATGGCATGTGACGTCCCACTTGCTTGCACCCAGGGAGGGAACTGTCACTGCCTCAGGACACAGCCAATCCTCCGCCTTCATTCAGAAGTGACCCACCCTGCCTTCTGCATTCTGAATACTCAATTTTAAAACAGTACTTATTCAGGGTTTACTAGGTACCAGCATGATTTTTAAGAGCACTATGTACATTCTGAAGTATTTAATCCCCTAATAAACAATATTTACTTTTAGTGCTGCCATTTTACAGAAGGAAAACCTGAGGCCCAGAGAAATGAATCTTTCTGGTGGTCACACAGCTACTAAAATATAAGGAGGTGTGGCTGTTGCTTTGTATTGTCTGTAAGAAACTAAAGGGACAGTCAGAGCTCTCTGACTGCTTGCTCTGGGTAACATGAAACACCCGATCATCATGCTGGGATCATTTAAAGTAGATCCTGGCCCAGATGTGAGACTCTGGCAGATCTAGGCAGACACCCCAGTTGCTTGCCTCTCTCCCGTATCCGCCTAAATCATCAGAAATGTGCTGTCATTTCAGTTAGTAAGTTAATGATTGCATGCACGACTTTGTGTAGGAAGCAGAAAGCTCTGTCCTGCTGTGTTTGAGGGAGAACTGGATTCTCTGTCTTTCCTTCTTTCTCTCACAGTCATGCCTCCTGCAGCCCATACCTGCTCCCAGTGATCCACTGCATCTGTCCTCAACAAGGTCCCAGATCACAGTCCTTTTCCCTTTATGGCTGAGGCCTTCCCTGACTACTCTCTATGTAAACTCTAACTCCCACACTTTCTGTCCCATGCCTTACTTGTTTCCTTCGGAGCATTAACCATCATTTAATAGACAATTAGTGTTTTGCTCCTCAACTTCCTATAATATCCATCTCCTCTGTTAGGTGGA